CAGAATAAAGTATGATTCGACAACGCTCACAAAAATTCATTCACGTCGAAAATGACCTGACTCATCGTCCCACCATCCCACAGTTCCCACTGGGCAGCTGCACGAATGAGTGCCATATAATGCCCGGGTCTATGTAAAATACAGGCAAAAATATGAGGATGGTTATTGAGGTCATCGCCTGGCGTCGCATGATGCATAAGAAGGTGGCGACCGTGAAACGCTAACTGTAAGACATTTACAGTAAAGCCTCCTGAGGTAGTATAATTACTACCTTCTGCAGGTGGACTATTATGGTCAAGCAACAACTGGTTTTCAACAGCGTCAAGCTGATACGCAATATATATATTGTCACACTGTTATATCGAGAGACATTCGTCACTCTCCCTGCTGCAAGCCAACCACAAAGAGAGAAGAAAAAAAGGAGCGGCCGTAGCGAAAATGCCTGTATAGAAGAGAAAAAAAAAAAAAGAGCTGTACAGCGAAGTAATAACCACCAGAAATCTATCCTTTGAAAATAAGAGAAGAACTAGCCGTTACAGATCGCAAACATAGCCCGACCGTCTTCACCCGAATAGAACGCCCGTCCATTACATATACATATCGTCACAAACAGAATATATATATATATATTGTCACAAGAATATCAGAGCGCAAATGCGAAAAAAAGAAAAAAAGAAAGAAAAACAAGAAAAAATGAATTCAGTTTCTTATCCTCTTCCTTATAACTCCCCCTGTTCAGAACCTCTTGCGTACAAGTCCGCCCACGTGGATGTAGGTTGAGCGGCGGCTGCCCCCACCCCCGGATATATATATATCGTCACAAACAGAACTGCCCGGTAAACCGTAGGCAGAGAGAGAGAAGAGGACAACAAACGAGGGGCTGTGACAAACTGTTTCGTCGGAGTTTCACCGACTCATCAGGAGGCTGAATATATATATATATATCGTCACAAACAGAACTGCCCGGTAAAACCGTAGGCAGAGAGAGAGAAGAGGACAACAAACGAGGGGCTGTGACAAACTGTTTCGTCGGTTATATATATATCGAAATGGCCTAGCTCAGTTGGTACGTCCTAAAAAACTGCCCGGAATCAAATTTGCAGTATTTTACGCGTTTTGCAGACCTGAACTGTTGAAATGCAGACCTGAGTCCGTACTCCAGATGAAGCAGATGAAGCAGATGACGCAGATGAAGCAGATGAAGCAGATGAGTAAGAAATTAAAAATGCTGCAAATTTGAATTACTTAGGGAAGGTCAGTTTCAAATGATGACATCTCAAGGCCGTTGCCCTTTCTAATGAAGAAAAGGAAAGAAAAAAAGCAAAAACAAAGAACTACCCGGTTAACGTAAAAATGACGATATATCAACGCCGTTACGTTTTTTCATGAACAGCAAAAGGAAATGCAAAATGAAAAGAAAAGAAAAAAAAAGAACTGTCCGGTAAACCGTAGGGGGGAGAGAGGGAGAAGAGGGCACCAAACTTGGAGCCGTGACAAACTCTTTCGTCGGCAGTTCCACCGACTCATCAAGAGAAGCCACAGATCTTCAAGCGGTCTTAACAAAAAACTAGCCGTTGCAAATATAAGAAGTAGCCGTTGGAAAATTTGAAACTACTAAAGCCGCTTGAAATTTGAAAACTAGCCGTTACAAAACTAGAAACTGCCGGGAGAAAAAGAAAAAGAAAAAGAAACTGCCGGTAGCAGTCGCAAGAAGAGATTGTGAACGCACCAATGTAAAGTCCAAAAAAAAAAAAAAAAAAAACCTTGAAAAGAGCGCCCGCAACTACCAATGAACGCACCGTTGAAAAGTCCAGAAAAAAAAAAAAAAAACTTGAAAAGAGCGCCCGCAACTACCAATACAATTAGCAACTTCGCACCGTAGGAAAACTGTGCGTTTTTTTTTTCAACGTTTTAAAAACTAGCCGTTGTAATGAATTTACTCGTTTCATAGGGCTTCAAAGACCGCGAAGAATGAAAAAAAAAAAAAAAGAAAGAAAGAAAGAAAGGGCGTCGCTGCACTACTCTTGAAATGCACAAAAGACAAAAATCATGGCCGTGTATCTTTCCATATTCTAGCGGAAGATTCACTCTCGTTTTGCACATTTTGAGAGTAGTGCAGCGAGGCCCAAAGACAGCGAAGACATGGAGATCTTGCCACGTTGCTAAATGAGTAGGAACACGTGACATTGCTGAGATCACCAATACAGATCAAGAATTCAAATCCTGGTGCATAAAATACCGAGCTGTGTGGCGTGCTCTCTCTCTCTCTCTCTCTCTCTCTCTCTCTCTCTCTCTCTCTCTCTCTCTCTCTCTCTCTCTCTCTCTCTC